TTGACTACAGGGGCGCCTGGGTGGCTTAGTCGGTTAAGCGTCTGACTTTCGCTTAGGTCATGATCTCGCAATTTGTGGGTTCGAGTCCCGCGTCGGGCTCTGTGCTGACTGTCAGCTCAGAGCCTGGAACCTATTTCAGAGTCTGTATCTCCCTCTCTCTCTGACCCTCCCCTCACGCTGTCTCTCTCTCTCCTAGAAATAAAAAAAAATAAAAAAATAAAAATAAAAAAAAAAAGGAGTTGACTACAGCTGCTACCTCTGTCTCCTTCCTCCCCGGTCTCTCCTGAAGCTCCTCTGAATAGGCTTTCCTTCTCGTTACCCTTCTAAGTGTCTTTTCTAAGTCACAACAGCACGTAACAGGGCTGATCACTCCTTCCTGTTTGAAACACTCTTCACATGGCTCCTAAGATGACGTGCATCTCTCCTCCCACCTCCCGGCCACCCCACTTGCCGCTCATTAGATGGAATACCTCCTGTGCCCCACCATCCAGGGTTCAGTCCTCAGACCTCCTCTCCTCTCTACCAGTTCTTATTCTCTGGGAAAACTCATCCATCTCATGGTTTTAAGGACCATTCATAAGCAGCTGACACCCAAAGTGATATCTTCTACCACAACCTCCTCCCTGAGCTCTAGAATCCTACCGCTCTGCCCTGTTCATTGCACGTCAGCTACACTGCCCTTCTCACTGCTGCCTACACACAGCAGGCAGGTCCTCACCTTAGTGAGTTTATCTGACGCTCCCTCTACCAAGAATGATCTTCCTCTGATCAGACCCCTACCCACCTCCTTCACTTTTAAGGTCTCTATTCAAATGTTACCTTATGCAGAGGACTTTCCAAGCCCTTCTAAAATAGTAACCCCTTCCTCTGCTTCATAGCACTCACCCCCATAAGGCATTACATTATCTATTTGTATGTTCATCTGCTTTATTGACTGGAACCCCTATTAGAATATAAGCTCCGTAAGAGTTGGGTATTTGCCTATGTTGTTTACTGTCTAAAACATTTACTGGATGATGTTAAGATATGTTAAAGTTTCCTGCTTTATCTCCAAGAGGTGAGATTATGAGAACATTTCAATAGATAGGTTGTACATTCCAGTAATGTTTGCGTTTTTCTCAATCAAACGTATTACTTTTGTCATCAGGACAAAGGAAAAAAACAAATAAAAATGTTAAAGTTTAACAATAATGAGAGAGAATCAAATAATATGAATTTGAGACTACATGTTTTAAACTAGTGAGAAAAAGTTTTATACATAGATCATTAGGACTTAGACAAGGATGATATACAGATTTTATCTTGAAAGCCAACTGTAATTGATTGGTTGTGGTGGTTTGAAAGGGACCCTGAAGCTAAATTGGGTTCTACAGAAAAGAAGGATGTTTTCCAGGAAAATGGAAGGGGTGGGAATTGTGATTCATGCCAAATAAATGCCACTTCATGACTTTCAATCTTTATGTGTACCATTTCCAATCTTTTGTATTCAGCTGAGGTCTACCAAGAATTCCTTATTTGTACATCCACTGCCTATCTGAGATCTCCTTACAAAGGTCTCATGACAGATCTCAAACTTACTCACAAGCCAAACAGAACTTTTGGTCTGCAGTGCTCTTCAGAAAAAACCAAACAAACATTACTCTTCCCTTAGTCCTCTTTCATAAGGACACCTTCATTCACTAGGGTGCTCATGTAAAAACTCTTAAGAATTTTCCTTGATTCCTCCTTCACTTTGCCCTTCCCTAAACATTCATATCCCTAAGCAAATCTTATTAGCTCTATGCCCAAAGAATTTTCTAACTTTACCTGTATCTCTCCAGCTCCTAGATGAGTACCTCAGACCAAGCCACCATGGCCTCTCATTTCACTGACACTAACAGCTTTCTAGATGGTCTGCCTTTATGCACGCTTGTCCCCTGACAGCCCATTTCCTACACATCAGCCAAAGTTTTTTTTTTTTTTTTTAATAGAAATCAAATAATGTCACTGCCCTATGGTTTCCCAGTGCAGTTAAAATAAATCCAAACTCCGACCCTGGCTCATTTCCCCAGGCCTCTCTCTCCAACTTTATCTCAGATCACTTTCCTCTTACTCCCTATGCTTCAAGCCATATTGGCCAACGTCATTTTCACTCCAGAGCTTTTATCCTGGCTGCTCCCCACGGAATGCTCTTCTGCGGCAGGCTCTCTGGTGACACTCGGATCTCAGTTTAAACGCTACTTCTTCTGAAGACTTCCTTTATCACTCAATTTAAAGTAGCAAGCCAATCACTATCATCCTATCTTAACTCTCTGCACACTACAAATTACTACTATTTGTGTAGTTTACTTATTAATTTGTTTGTTGTCTCTCTCTCTCTCCAACTATAATGTAAGATACTGTAAAACAGTATCTCATCCGCACTCTGGTGAGAGGGTCTATTTAACAAATATTTGTTGAAAATGATTTGTGCAATTTTGTTTGTTTTTGTTTTAATATGTATTTATTTTGGGGGGATAGCGCAAGTGGGAGAGGAGCAGAAAGAAGGAGACAGAGGCTCTGAAGTGGCCTCTGTGCTGACAGGCTGACAGCAGTGAGCCTGATGTGGGGCTCAAACTCATGAACCATGAATGAGATCATGACCTGAGCTGAAGCTGGACGCCTAACCGACTGAGCCATCAGGGTGCCCCTGACTTGTGCAGTTTTTTTTAATGTGTTATATTTCAGTAAAAAAAGTTGCATGTATGTATTTATTTATTCATATTTGTGGGCTAACAGAATGGGAATAGAATCAGTAAGAATTCCCTATTTGGGAAGAGAGAAAGTAATTCTCCAAGGTTGAAGAAACATGAATTTATTTTGATTCAGATCCAAAATATACAAACTTTTAAAAACCTGGCAGAGTCTAGTATTGACTTTACAAAAATGAAAAACCAATTTGCCCTCAAAGAGCTTCAGAAAGAATAACAAACCTATTTCAACTTATTGAGTAAATGCAGTGGAAGGAATGGTAAAAGTTGGTATAGGCAGGTATGTTTAACTCAGTCTGGGAGGTGAACAATCAGGAAGTCCTTCCTGAAGGAAGTGCAGTTTAAACTGAAATCTGATCTGAAGGATGAGCAGTTGTGACAGATGTACTTGTGCGGGGGAGGGAGATAGGCACTCAGCGTAAAAGTATTTTGGGGAAAGGAAATATGGTCAAAGCTCAGAATCCAGACAGCTCATAACATATTTTCAGGAAACTGAAAGTAACTTACTGTGGCTGGAGGGCAGAATATAAACTGAGAAAGGGTTAGAGAAAGACTGAGAAGTAAACAGGTTATCCTGATACCCCACTGTGAAGTTTGCACTTTATCCAGAGGGTAAGAACACGCCACTGAAGAATTTAAAGCAAGACAATGTTTCCATGTACCATAATCTTATTTAAGAAAGATCACTGTGGGAGCACCTGGGTGGCTCAGTCAGGTAAGCTTCTGACTCTTGATTTCGGCTCAGGTCATGATCTCACCCTTTATGAGATTGAGCCCCAAGAGTTGCTGAGTGTGGAACCTGCTTGGGATTCTCTCTTTCCTCCTCTCTGTCCCTCCCCTGGTTTCTCTCTCTCTCTCAAAAAAATGAATACGTAGGAAGGAAGGAAGGAAGGAAGGAAGGAAGGAAGGAAGGAAGGAAGATCACTGTGGCCAAAGAAAGAAAGAAAGATTACTGTGGCCACAGGATGGAGAAGAGTTTAGAGGGAGACAGAGAGAAAACCTCTTCCAAGCAACAATTGATAGAAGAATTAGGATAGTAATAATGGAGCCAAAAAGAAGCAATTAAGATCCTACTCTAAGAAGTATGAGAAGTCGCTAAAACTTATAATATGAAACAAAATAAAATGAGCACCAAACATGCAAATAGAGAGGTGCAGTTAAGTTACCAAATATATCAGAGTTAAGTTTCACAGAATTATGTGACATGTAAGCTTAACTTTCAAGGAAGTATAGCTAAGATTTCCAAAGACGAAGAAACTTCTTAACTTTAAAAAGACTTTTCCATAAGGGTTGCTTCCTAGTACAAATAATTTGATGAAATGAAAAAATAAGCTGCATATTTACAATCTATATCTTTCTTTAAGGCAAGAACTTCAAAATCAATATTTATGAGTAATTTATAATATTATAATTCTATCATAATTAAGTATATTCTATTCAACCACAAGCTATAAAATCATAGTCTGCCCTCTAGTTATCATTAGAAAGCAAGTTTTATCAGCGGTAAAATTATTATGGATAAATAAAACAAAAATAGTTAAATCAAAACATATGTATATATGTAACTAATAAATATATTAAATAATTCAAGACCAAAATACAAGCACATATTATTTTGATAAAAACTAGACAATGATAAAATGCATTTCAGAGTGAGTTAAAGTTGAGATTTTATATAATCGAATTTAGGAAATATTTACTGAGAATTAATACACACGCACACATATACTTTTACATACACAGGAGAAAAATGGTAGGCAATAAACAACTAAGAGACAGATCCTTCCTCAAGAGTTTTATAAATCTAGATAGGAAGACAGATATATGTATACCTCAATAAGCATTTCTGTAAGACTTCTGCAGTGATAAGGGGACTTTATAAATTAGTTAGAAAAGACACTTTAACATTCTTCTGCACCAGATAGCATTAAAATATAGAATAGGATTCTAACTACAGTTAAAACATTTTATATTTTCAATGTTCTACTCTACAGATAGAATATTGGATTTTAAAAAATTACTATTAAATTGAATTATAAACTCAAAAGATTAATTGCTAAATACCCAAAAGAAATGTCAAAACCTAGGCAAGACATAATTGGCAAACAGAAGAAAAAAAAAAAAACAGGAAAATGAAAAGAGAAATAATCTACATAGGAATTTGTTAACAGCCAAAGAGAAACCAACATAATTTGTTTTGTACATCTGTAATTTAAGTAGCACATTAATCACCTCTCATTTTAATATCTGAAAGTAACATGTAACACTTACCTTACAACAATAAGCATGGCTATCAGGATTGAACAGATAGGATCTGCTATCATCAGACCAAAATTTTGCATCATGATGGCAGAAGCAATTACACCAATACTCCCAAGTGTATCTGCCAGGATGTGTAAAAATACACCTGGAAACAATGCATAATTAAAATCAAAACAACATCTTCTGATCAATGAAAAATACAAATAGTTCTTAAAACTACAGTCTTCATTTTATATATAAAAACCTAAATACCAATTAGAAAATCGGGACGAATGGAGATTCATTTTTAGTAATAATAGTACCTCTGGGAATTGAAATTATCTTTCCTATCTCAAATCACCAGGGGTTAAAATATCTGATTCATAAATCACACTTGTTTTTTCATGATTCTTAATATTTTGGTACAACATAAACGAAGAACAGAAACAAGTTGATTTGAAGCACATTCATCTCTGGTTAAGAGAGTCCATATATTAATTAATAATTTGTTAGAAGAAAATTGCATTAGGCTCAAAGAATTGTTCAAATAACATTGTTTAGCACGTTGACTACATGTACACACAGAGCCCTCTACTGGTAATTAAAATTATTACTACTTGAGACAAGAATTTCTTTTGGATTGGTAATTCTACAAATCCTGACATACTTATTAATTATCCTGAGGGTTTTATTACCTAAAACTACACACTAAGCTCAACACTGATGTGGAAGGAAGTAGAGATCTGAATATCTGCAAGTAAATATAAGGTGTTTTTTAAACTTTTAATAAATAAAAAATGAAATGGTAGGGTTCTGATATTCTAACTGTTCAAGAACCTAGATATAATATTTTGACATGGTGATATATAATAATAAGAAATACATATCTGGCCTTCATCCCTTTTCTGGAAAACCCCTGGAACTTCCCAAGTGCCAGCAACAAAGGCACCTCTTGTTAATGTTAACATAACTTCTGGACCCCACCTGAGGAGGGGGCTGGCTGCCACGAGAGCCAGTCTGTCCTGTGATCAGAGGATTGGAACGTCCAGTCCCAAGCCGCTGACCTCTGACCTCCAGTCTCAGAGAACTGCTTGCTGGTGTGAGAGTATATTCTTCACTACTCCATAGGAATTGTGCACAGAATCTCGGTTGGGGACCAGATGTGGGATCAGAACCAGAACCCACCTTAAATATTAGCATTTAATAACTGACATTTGACTGTTAAACCATTAAAAAGTATCAAGAAGTTTAAAATACATTATTTCTTAAAAAGACTTAACTAAGACAATAAGCTATTCAACATTTAGATCCTAAATAAGTAAAATTTACTGTATAGCAAAACACTGCTCTTGAAACAAGCTTAAACCATGTTACTAAAAATAGAACATTTTATTTTTATTTTATTTTTTTAAAATGTTTTATTTATTTCTGAGAGAGAGAGAGAGAGAGAGAGAGACAGAGTGAGCAGGGAAGGGGCAGAGAGAGAGGGAGACACAGAATCTGAAGCAGCCTCCAGGCTCTGAGCTGGCTGTCAGCACAGAGCCCGACGCGGGGCTCGAACCCATGAACTGCGAGATCATGACCTGAGCCGAAGTCAGACGCTTAACTGACTGAGCCACCCAGGCGCCCGTAAAAATAGAACATTTTAAACTAGCATTTACTCTATCTGAAAAGAATACTTAATGTGTAAAAAGCATGTGTCTACATTAGAAACACTTATTCCACTTCTTTATTATTCACTGGACAATTAAAGGCAAACCATTTTTTTTTTAGGTATCCACCATAGATTTACTTCAAGTTGAAAACACTTTTTAATAATTTAAAAACACACTATTACTGAGTCCATCAAATCTTAACGTGCTATAGGAAAATATGCTTCAATTCATCTACTACTGTATAATTTTATATCAAGTATTGTACCAAATATAATTCATCCCTCAGTACTTAATATACTTTTTCATTCACATAGAGTATAGACCTTTATAACTACTCTTCAAAAAGCTAATGGTTCTGTTTCTTGTAACAAAAATATTATGCCAAAGCATACTCAATAGAAAAAAAGATCTGATTTTCTAGGGTAGTTCAAATAGGAAAGAATTTAAGAAGTGTCAAGATCACATTAAGTTTAAAAGAAAATGAAGAGTCCATCAAAGTAGACTGAAGGTACCTAAGCTTCAAAACTCTTAAGCAACATGTGATTTCAAGCCTTTATATTCTTTAACCAGTGTCTCTTATAGGATTGGACAGGAAAACAGCTCTAAATACTGAAAGGGAAAAAAACAACAACAATCGTTTCTTCTTGATTTCTCTTTCACTAAAAAGCCCCCGACTACATCTCATGTACTGACCTGAAAACTGGCTTTATGAGGAAGTGTCATGAATTACCTAGGCCTCTTTTACTTTGTAGTGACTGTTTCAACAAGAATAATCACTAAAGAGAGAAATCTAAACTAATATGTTTAACTTAAATAAAAGTTGAAAGCCTTAGAAGACCTGGTACAATACTGAAATGTTAACTGTCCAAAAATATGGAAAGCCAGAGGTCATACTGAAAAACCTGCAAATAACTGAAAAATTTGGTTATTCCAGTTTTCACGTGTGAGTAGCCACACGGAAACTTTTAATGCCACAGTTATCCCTATCCTTCAGCTATCTACTGGGCTGCTGCAGCCATCGTAAATTGATGGATACTCAGAAAATATAAAGTAATTTTCCTAACAGCTTGTATAAAAGATAATGAGGAAGGCATATCTAACCTCCCTTCCCTCAACTTGTGATGATTTCCAAAACTAAAAATAAACTCATATTACCAAAGCTAATTTATAGCATTGGGTATAGATGCATTACTTATGCATGATTACAAGCTATTTCAGCAAATGCTGTTCTAAACCAATTCTATGTATTTTGCAAATTGAAAACTAGTGACTGGAAGACACATTTAAGCCTCCTGAAATAAACTCCTCAGTATGAAGGAGCACACTCGCAGTGAAAAAATAAAAAACAAGAACCCTATCAAGAAACAGTGAAGAAAAATAGGTGCAGTAGAGATTCGATCACGAGCTAATGAGAAAATCAGATTGAAGTCAAAAGTTAATAAAAGCAAGAATGTGGGGAGCTGGGAATTTGGAAACTTTGACAATGAAGTCTAAATGGAAATTCAGAGCCAAAGACTGGCTGACATCTCAAAAAGAAATTATCATAGTTCACAGACAAAACTGATTTTCTCTGCCTTGTAAAATTTTGTAATGTATCATTTTACACAACATGTCAGCTCCTGTTCAGATATCATCATTTGATGCCTATGGGTATGACAAAGGTCTCACTGTGCATTATATGTATATTTTAATATAAAAGAGTTAAGTTTTTAGAGGAGTTTTCACTCATAGCAATACTGAGCAGAAGGTACAGGTTACCCTTACACCCCTGTCCTGGGCATAACATTCCAAACTGTCGAAATTCCCCAGGAGAGTAATAAATACATTTGTTACAACTGATGAAACTACACTGACATGTCATGTTACCATTCAAATGTCCAACTACATTAGGGTTCATTGTTGGTGTTCTACATTGTAAGGGTTTGGATGCATTACATTTTTTCCTCTAAATTTTTCCACAACGTAAATACATAACTGAATCCTGAATTTGGAAAAAATATTTAATAATCCTATGAAAGCAAATATATTACTATGGTGTTACTATAGCCATGGCATGGGTATTATTTATAGTTAACAGTACTGAATATTTTAATCTTCCTATTAAATCTAAGAAAATAGCCAAGTAACAGTTAAAAGAATGTCTGCTAATATACCTATAGTATATATTTTAAAAATCAGAAGGAAAGCTAATATTTTAGACACAAATGCATTATACACTCTTCTTAAAGGAAATTTCCAGATAGCTCAACACAATGAAACCCATTTCATAAAACAGAAATATACAAATTCCTTGACATACCTTGTAAAATCTGTCTGCTGGGTCCTGTTGTTTCTTTTAAGGAGGGACCATCTGTAGAGAGTTAAGTTAAATTATTTAAAAACATATCTTCAATTCCTGATTCAACTTTTGCAATTCAGAGAACTTTTCATTCAAGTATATCGTGAAGGATGCATGTCTATATAGCCACATCAGACCTACAAAATTATTTTTTAAATTTAATGTATTAACTTAATAGAGACAGACATGGGCAATTTCAAAATACACAGTATTTAGGTCATTATTATCTTAAGCAATCTAGTAAAAGGCAGTAAATTAAAAACACTGTGAAAGTCTTCTACTACTTATAACATACCTTATACTACAGCTTTCTACACTAATATTACAACTGGAAAACTCAGATAAAACAAATCTACTGCTTGAAGTTACAAGAAGTTGAACTAATGACACCAGGGCAGTTTCCAAAATAACTGGACTGTGGCAAACAATAGTTTCCTGACAGCTTCTGGATGGATGTGGCAAGCTTTTCACAGAGAAGAGATAAAAGTACTTTTTCATTTTGCCTTCATGATGAAAAAATTTAAAAATACTGCAATTTCTATACTTAGATACTCTGAAGATACTAAAGCAGAAAATATAGGTAAACAATTGGCAATACTGAGATCAAGCCTTCTGATCATGTCTAACAGAAAGGCTGCCTCAGGTCCTGGTTCTTGACCACAATACCTAAGAGCTGACATGTCCTTACTATGTCTTTGCTAGAGACTGCAACAATGCTCAGAAAAGGCATAAAAGCCTAAGGCTGCACAATGATTTCTGTCTGGATATGGCAGTGCTATGCTAGGAGAAAGATGTAGCCAACTTAAAAAATCATGCTGACGGTCAAAAGTGTTGACTGTTCTAAAAATCTAGCTCCCTGATCAAGGCAAGGGATTTGTCTATAGGTAGTAGGTCTAGATAAAGACAGTGATTTTTGACATAACTATTTGGAAGGGCTTATAAGGCTATACTAATATAATGGCTATGTAAAACGATTAACTCCCATCTATGTAAAATCGGACAATACTTCTGGACAGAAAATTTGTTATCTGTCGTAGAGACTGGGTAGTTGTTTATCACCCACTTCTTTGGTAAGCAACTAAACTACATTTCCCAGGCTCCCTTGAGTTATGTGATATACGTGACTGAGTATCAAACAAAGAAATACAAGCAGTAAACCAATTCTAAGCTTAAAACAATGTCCCCCCGCCTCCAAAAAAGAATGTCCCACATGATCTTCTACGTACTTAATCTCCAGGTAGATGCAAAGAATCCAGCGGAGGATTCCAAAGGTCAAGAATCCCAGAAATGAAAGGAACCTCGATCTCCGAACTGAATGAGAAACAGTATCCACTCTCCTTTACCCCATCAACCAAGAGCAAGATACAAACATTTACTGCTTGAGTCACTGAGACATGAGTAGTTAAAGGGAGCAAGTTAAAAACCAGCTAGTCAGTAAAGACAGTAAGCATTCCAAAAAATATGAGGCTCACAGTATTTCCCAGTAAGACTACAATGTCTCTTAAAGGCAAAATGGAATCATGGCCCTATTACATTTGTATCTTCAGACTGGCTAATATATACTGAAGGCAGAAATAACAGTCTAAGAGAAAATTTTGGAGTCAGATTTCCTTGTGTTTGAAGCCTACTATTTCCTTTTACTAGTTACTATGATCTTCACGTGCCATGATGTCATGTAAATTCTTCGGCACTCATTCTTCTCCCCTTGGCCAAAAAAAGGTGCGGGGGCTACCTTTCACCTATTTAGGATCTTACTACTGTGCATTGCCAAAGGCATAAAAAAATTCTAGAGCAACAAACAAGAGGTGAATTGCAAATACCAGTGGTAATGTTAGAAAAGTAATGATTCTAGATACTACCAACAAATCCTTTTGTAAGCAACATGGTTACCAATTCTTTGTGTTTAAGTAAAATAGGGATTAACTAATGAAACTGCCAATTTATAGATCATCAAAAATAATTTTGATAATAGATCACTATGTAATTTTTGGAATGTAACTCTGAATGTGTTCAAAGAATAGACTGAAACTGCTATAAAGAGAATGTCTTTTATTTAAGGTTTCTTAGTACTTACATTATAAAGCTAGAAAATAGGTTTTATACTGATAAATGTCATTTACTCATATACTAATTGACAAAAAAGGAGCTCAAATCATCTCAATGACATATGTATTTCAACAAAAATATTTTTTATGATTATGTATTATCAAAAATTTTTAAATATAATTATTTTGATTGACTTTTAGTAATAATCACAATAACTCCACCTAAAATAAATGTTTAAATTAAAAAAAAATTTTTTTAATGTTTTATTTATTTCTCAGAGAGAGAGCAGGGGAGGGGCAGAGAAAGAAGGAGACACAGAATCTGAAGCAGGGTCTGGGCTCTGAGCTGTCAGCACAGAGCCCAACGTGGGGCTTGAGCCCATGAACCATAAGATCATGACCTGAGCCGAAGACGGTCGCTTAACTGAATGAGCCACCCAGGCGCCCCAATAAATGTTTAAATATTAAGTCTTATGTTTCTAGGACACTAGAACTTCATTATACTAAGTTAATTTCATCATATACTAAAAAGGAACTAGCCCTGGGAACCATTTAGTCTGATTCATAGAAAAGAAGTTGATTACGAAACCCTTTCAAGAGACTATTTCAATGAAAAGAGTAATCTATACAAAATTTCTGTGTATTTGGAAGGCTATCCATTTGAAAATCTTCTGGCTGTACTCACCATGAGAATGAAAGTGTCCATGTCCATGAGCATGATCATGACTATGTGCAGCACCATGTTTCAATTCATGACTATGGCAATGATCTCCATGGCCATGTGCCTGATCCAGAACACCATTAAAAAGGGAATGACTGTGTCCATGACCTAAAACGTAGTTAGAATAAAAGGTATATAAGACTATATTACATAAATGATTACAATAACACTGACATTAGTGAAAAGAACGAGTGCTAAAAAGAGATTCAATTAAATAAATATCTACTTGCAAAAAGTATTACAGATTCATTAAAAACAATTGTGAGTTCCTCCTACTATGAAGCACAGGAAGGAAACAAAAGTATGAAAGCAAGTGGTAAACTTTACTGATGATGAAAATAAGTGAGAAGTACACAGAAATATTTAAAGAGCTTACAGATAATGTTATTCATTCATTCAAGAGGAACACACTATGTTATAGGCACTGTTCTAGGCACTGGGGATAAAGCAGTGAAGAGCACAGACAGAAATCTTAGCTAAAACTTTGCAAAGCACTATTACATATTCTAATAAAGATAAAATAAGATATATGCAGGGGCGCCTGGGTGGCCAGTCAGTTAAGCGTCCGACTTTGGCTCAGGTCATGATCTTGTTCGTGAGTTTGAGCCTTGCATCAGGCTCTGTGCTGACAGCTAGCTCAGAGCCTGGAGCCTGCTTCGGATTCTGTGTCTCCCTCTCTCGCTGTCCCTCACCTGCTCACACTGTCTCTCTCTCTCTCTCAGAAATAAAACATTAAAAAAATAAAAGATGTATGCATATGGTCACTTTAAGGCAGAGAAGCTGCTGTATTTGTAAAATTACATTATAGTAGATAGAATCCTTAGAAACAAAAACAAAAACAGAATAATGCAGAATCCTCTCTCCATAGCAGACCTAAAACTAAACCATCAAAGAAACATCTTATACATGCTACTGCAAAGCACATAAGAACATTGGATGTTACCCAATTCAAAAATATCACTAATATTCACAAAAATCTTAAATACCAGTACACCAAATCCAGCATTGCATTGTATGGGAAACCATGAATAATGGGGAGATCAACTTCCAAAACGGTGGTGAGGGGATACTGGCAAATTAGTTCTCTCTCTAAAACAACAAGAACACAATCATGTGTCTCTCTAAAAATCAACCATGTCAGAACTCCAGCAACTAACCAAAACCAAAACTAAAAAGCACCCATCCAAGAAGAAACTACCAAACCTCAGGAAGACTAGAGGGTTTCTGTTGTTTTTACTTGGGGCTATTCCCATTTGACCTCCTGCCCCAGCTCAGCTGAAAGCAGCCAAAAGTCAGCGGCACTGTAGACAATAGAGAGATCTGATTCCTTCTGAAGCTCTTTGAAAACGCCAATTCCAGAGCACAGTCAGTATTTTGTCCAAACTTGCAGTTCCTTAGAAAAATCTCTATTCTCAATGTGGTGACGATTAGACTCAGAGGTCAACTCTAAAAAGTTAACGGCCATGTGCTATAGGAAAGCAATTAGTCCAAGAAAGTCTTGCAACAAGAAAAATAGTATCAGTAACAACAAACTTTGAAGGGAGCAGTTAAAGTAACGATACCAGAGCCATTATAAAATGTCCAGTTTTCAACAACAAAAATTATAAGACATGCAAAGAAAGAGGAAAGTATGGGTTATTCCCATTTTACCTACAGCAAAGAAGGCAGCCAACAGAAAATGTTCCTCAAGGTGACCCAGATTTTGGACTTAATAGACAAAGACTTTAAATCAGCCATTATAAATATGTTCAAAGAAATAAATCCACATCTAAAGAATGAAAGTATAATGATGACTCACCAAATAGAAAATATCAGTGACAAGAAATTATAAAAATGAACCAAACAAAAACTCTGGAGTGAAAAAATACAATAACTGAAATAAAATATTTACTAGAAGAGCTCAACAACAGAGTTAAACTATGATAATGTAAACTTGAACATGAATCAACAGAGCTTATCCACTCTGGGGAGCAGAAAAAAAAGAAAATAAAGAAAAATAAACAGCCTTAGAGACATGTAGAAACATCAAGCGTACCAAATCAAGCATAGCAAGAGTCTCAAAAAAAAAAGAAAAGTAGGAGACAGAAAAAAAAAAAAACAAACTGATGAAAAATATTAAGCTACACATACAAAAAACTTAGGAAAACCCAAAAAAAGAATAAACTCAAACGGAGCCATATCTAGAACCATCATAGTCAAACTGATGAACATCAAAGAGACCCTGGAAGGTGTACACCAAGATAAAAAATAAGTTACCAGGTATAAAGAAACCTGAATAAGATTAACTGGTGACTTCTCCACAAAACCATGGAGGTCAAAAGCCCATGGGATGACAAAATCAGAATGTAAGAAAAAGACTCAACTTAAGAAATCTAAATTCACCTCTCTCCTTTAAAAATAAAGGACATATAAGACATTACCACATCAACAAAAACACTACCTGCAAATGAGATGAAAGACATTAAATGGTTAACTCAAATAAATACACATAGAGAAATAAAGAACTTGGTAAAGGAAATGATGAAAGAGAGGATGAATATATTTTTCATTGGTGACTCGTTTCTTTTTAAGGTTTTAAGAGACAATTTCATAAAGTAATAATTAGATAACTATATTGATGGGCTTACATCACAAAATATGTAATCTGTCTGACAACAACAGTACAAAGAAGAAAGGTAAATATGGAGGTACACTGGAGCAAAGGTTTTGTGTATAACTAACTTACTATTAATCTGAACTAAATTGTTTTAAATTAAGATGCTACTTGTAATCCTCAGGACAACAATTAAGAAATATTCAAAATTATATATTAAAAAAAACAACAGAATTAACAGAAAGTATCCATTTCAAAAACAAGAATCAGGGAATAGAGTAACAAAAAGTACCAAAAATAGAAAAAACAAATACTAAAATGGTAGATGTAAATCCTACCTTAGTAGTAATTATATGAAATGCAAATTGTTTAAATATCCTAAGTGAATGACAGAGATAGAATGGATTAAAACAAATAGGATCTAGTTATATTCCGTCTATAAGAGATACACTTTAGATTCAAAGACATAAACATGTTGAAAGTAAAAAGAAAGAAAAATACACCATGCAAGCAGTAAAAGAAAAGAAAAGAAAAGAAAAGAAAAGAAAAGAAAAGAAAAGAAAGAGAAAGAAAGAAAGAAAGAAAGAAAGAAAGAAAGAAAGAAAGAAAGAAAGAAAGAAAGAAAAAGAAAGAGGAAGGAAGGAAGGAAGGAGGGAAGGAAGGAAGGAAGGAAGGAAGGAAGGAAGGAAGGAAAAAAGAGAGAAAGAAAGCAAGAGAGAGCTGGAATGGTTATCATAATATCAGACAAGATAAACTGTAAGCCAAAAATTATTGTGAGACAAAAACAGTAACACATAAAAACATGTTCAATCTATCAGGAAGATATAATGATTATAAACATATTGCACTAAACAATATAGCTCCAAAATACATGAAGCAAAACCTAAAATAATTGACTGAAAAAATACACAATTTAATAATTATAGTTGGAGACTTAAATACCTACGTTCAATAATAAAAGACACATAAGCAGAAGATCAACCAAAAAAAACCTAGAAGGTTAAACAACTATGAACAAATTAGACCTAATATCTAAAGAAGAGCAGAACACATATTCTCCTCAAGTGCACATGGAACATTGTCCATATAGACCAAATGCTAGGTCATAAAACAAGGCTCAATAAATTGAAAAAAAAAAAAAAAAAAAAACAACCAACCTGAAATCATATAAAGTGTGTCATCTGATCACAATGGAATTAAATTAGATATCAACGACAGAAGAAAACCAAAAGACACACTCTTAAACAACTAATGAGTCAAAGACGAAATCACAAAGGAAACTGAAAACTACTTTCAGTGGTGCCCGGGTGGCTCAGTCAGTTGAGCATCTGACTTGGCTCAGGTCATGATCTCACAGTTGGTGAGTTCGAGCCCCACATGGAGCTCTGTGCTGACAGCTCAGAGCCTGAAGCCTGCTTTGGACTCTGTGTCTCCCTCTCTCTCTGCCCTTCCCCTGCTGTTGTTCGGTTTCTCTCTCTCAAAAGGAAACATTAAAAAAAAAAAAGTTTTTAATATAATAAAATTAAATAAATATAATTAAAAATAAATTCCTAGTTTACTAGGTGTTTTAACCATGTTTTTATCAATTAGAAAGACTCTCTCCCTCCCTGTCTCTTTCCCTGGGTCCCTCTTCCCTGCTCGTGCTCTTTCTCTCTCTAAAATAAAAATAAAGAGAAGAAAAGAGAACATGTCCCAACTCATTACATAAGGCCAGTATTACCCTGATACCCTGCTAACTACAGACTAAAAATTCCTTAAGAATATAGACACAATGTCTTCAACAAAATACTAGCAAACCAAATAAAGCAATATACAAAAAAGATAAACCATGGCCAAATGGAATTTATCCTGAGAATGCCAAGGTGGCTTACTATCCAAAATTCAAGCAATGGAATAGACCATATTATAAGGATAAAGGATAAAAACCAACTCCCACCTCAAAAAGTGAAGGAAAAAGTTGTGACAAAGCCCCAGTACTCTTTCATGATAAAAACACCTAGTAAACTAGGAGTAGAAACAAACTTCCTCAACCTGATAAAAGGCATTTCTGAGAAACCCACAGTTAACGCAGCTAACAGCATATTTAATGAAGACTGAATGCTTTCATCCTAAAATCAGGAAAAAGACAAGAAGAATGTCCTTTCTTACCACTTCTATTTAATACTGTACTGAATGATCTGACCAGGGCAATTAAGCAAGAGAAAAAAAAAAGCAATCACATGGGAAAGGAAGAAGCAAATTATCTCTATTTGCAGATGACAGGACACTAAAAAATTCTACAGAATCCACTAAAAACTTATTAGAATAGTGAACAACTTCAACAATGTAGCAAGATGCAAGGCCAGTATACAAAAACGAACTGTATCCTTATACATTAGTAAAGAACAATCTAAATATGAAATTAATGAAAACAATCACACAATACCTACAACAAAAAAAGAAAGTCTAATTGTAAAGTTAAGAAGTGTGTGAAACATGTACACTTTAATAACTATAAAACATTTTGAAAGAAATTAAAGAAGCTATAAATAAATGTGAAAACATCCCATGTTTATCGACCAGAAGACTTAATTAACATTGTTAAGACGACAATACTCCCCAAATTCATCTACAGATTCAACACAATTTCTATCAAAATCTCAACTGCCTTTTTTTTTTTTTTTTCAGAAATTGACAAGATGATCTTAAAATTTATATGGAAATGCAAGAGGGGATCCAGAATAAATAAAACAATCTTAAAAAAAGAAAAAAAACTGGATAACTCATGTTCCAATTTCAAAACCTACCTCAAATGTACGTTAAACAAGACAGTAGGGTCAGAAATAGACCATAAATATCACACCAAATGGTAAAACCTGATGGTAACCTGATGGTTAAAACATGCTGATGGTTTGCATTTTTCTCTAGAGATTCTGATAAAAATGTTCTGGGATTAAACCTGAGCATTAAGGTTTTTGTAAATTACTCAGGTGACTATCCAGGCTGACACAAGGATACAAACTCTAAGTATTTCTAATTAACACTGTGCTAGGGGTCCTAGCTATACAATCAGACAAGCAGGAATAACAATTTTTATTCCTAATAGTAATAAAAACATTCAACTAGCTAAAAATAAACTGATCAAAAAATGATCTTTATTAAAATAGCTAAGACAATTTAGTAAAAGACAAAAAACATTTTATGCATTCCCAATCACAATCCCAAAAAGATTTGTCATACAACTTGATAAGCTGATGAAAACCGCGTCGGGCTCTGTGCTGACAGCCAGCTCAGAGCCTGGAGCCTATTTCAGATTCTGTGTCTCCCTCTCTCTGACCCTCCCCTGCTCACGCTGTCTCTCTCTCTCTCTCTCTCTCTCTCTCTCTCAGAAATAAATAAAACATTAAAAATAATAATTGGTGCTTATTCATACTGGGGAAAAAAAAGTTAAGTCCTAACTCACCCTACCACAAAAATAAATCACATATAGATGAAGGAATAAAATGGCTGGGGGAAAAACCCCTAAATTTTAGCAGTATTAGAATATGAGACATGTTTATGACTCAGGAATTGGAAATTTCTCAAAGTAGAAAACATACCAGAAAAAATGTAAGACAGTAATACTAAGACTATTTCAAAATGAGAACACCTACTTAAAGGTTAAAGATAAGCCATAGATTGGGAAAAGATGCTTGCAACACATAAAACAAATGATTAGTATACAAAATATACAAAAATTATTAAAAATGGATTAACAATAAGACAATAGAAAAACAAGCATAAATAAATAGTTCAAGGAGAAGATAAACTTGAATGGCCTAAAAACATATGGAAGGATTTTCAACCTCAAAATATTAGCAAAACAGTCTTAAACCTACTGTGTTTCTTTTAATTTTTTTAAGTTTATTTATTTTTTTTAATTTATTTTGAAAGAGAGTGTGTGTAAGCACGAACAGGGGAGGGACAGAGAGAGAGGGAGAGAGGGAATCCCAAGCAGACTCTGCGCTATCAGCATAGAGCCCAACGTGGGATCATGACCTGAGCTGAAATCAAGAGTAGGACATTTAACAGACTGAGCCACCCAGGTGCCTCACTCATAATAAGTTTAAATGAGAGTGGGAGGAAATTAGTATTGGCATTCTTTGCTGGGATAAATGTGAATGATAGTTATTTTGTGGGCAATTTGCTATTGTCTACTGAAACTGAAAACTGTATTTCCTATGTTCCAGCAAATCTACTTATATTCCAGCACAGTGCAATTCAAAAAACTTTCTGTGACAATAGAAATGTTCCTTATCTGCTGTCCAATATGGTAGCCCTATGTGGCTACTGAGCACTTGAAATGTCAGTGGTGTAACTGAAGAAGTGAATTTTTAATTTTACTAAATTTAATTAACCATAATTTAAATTTAAATAGCACGTGTGACTAACAGCTCCTGCACGGGACAGCACAGCTCTGGAAAAACACCTGCATATGTTCACAAGGATATGTTTCATATGGAAATGACTTAATGTCTATATACAGAAGACCAGTTAAATAAGCCATGGTACCCCACACCATGGAGTTTTATGGGTCAACAAGAGAAGGCATCTGATAATTAACAAACAAAAGGATCTCAAAGACAGACTGTATAGTAAATTCTGTACCCACATATACTATAATTTTTAGTAACTAGATCTGTTTTATATGGTTTTTAATGTTTATTTGCTGGTGTTATATAAATGGTGTCACACAAAGCGGATGAGCTATAGAGGTTTGGAAAGATCCATACCAAACTGAGAACATGTAACTCTAAGATGGCACTGAGATGGAGACATATGGGGAAGTAGGAGTGATGGGTTCAGGAAGACATTAATAAGTGTCTATTAACATATTATTTCTGTTGTTAAAAATCAGCACAGGGTTCTGGGTGGCTCAGTCAGTTAGCGTCAGACTCTTGATTTTGGCTCAGGTCATGATCTCATGGTCCATGAGATGGAGTCCCATGTTGGGCTCTGCATTGAAAAGGCGGAGCCTGCCTGGGATTCTCTCTCTCTCTCTCTCCCTCTCTCTCTCAAAATAAACTTAAAAAAAACCAACATAGACTTTAACTTTAAAATGTATCAATTTTCAAAAGTGATAATTATGACGGAAAAGAGAAAATGAAACATAGCATTCTAACCATCATACCAGAGCCATGAGAATGTCCATGACCTCCATGCTTGAAAACAAATATTCCTATTAGGTTTACCACAAATCCAAGAATTGAAACAAGAAGCAGTCTCTCATGGTGTACATCTGGAGGGGCTAACGCTCTCTAGAAAACACATAATACAAACAAAGAGCATTGATATAATTTTTGAGTGATCAACTGGTAAAAACAAAAAGCAAGCTTTAAAAATTTTTATTTTCAGAATTAAAAGCACTCTACAAATATATGCCAAAACAGCTTCTAAAAAAAAAAATAGTGCTCATATACTGCAGATAAGGTAGTAATTACTATTTTTAAATACACACAAATATTTAAAAGCATGACTATTTGGTCTAAAACCCATCCCTCTTTGGTATCTTAAAATACTGCCATTCATTTCAGGTTCATTGATCTTTCAATTTTCTCTTTATATTTCTTTAATATATCAAATATTACAGTTTCACTGATAAAGCTTGCAGGTTCTAGTTTAAGAATTCTTCCCAGCTGACCTCACTACTCAGATTGTGCCTTTACTTTCCACAGCGTCTACACTCTGTTCATAGCTTATAAAGCACTACTATTTAATTGTTTTCAATTTCAAGTAGTTTCACATATATTTAATTTTTTCAACTATTTTGTAAGCTCCTCTTACATATTTTATCTAATCCAAGACTATCCTCAATAATATTAATAACAGTGTGAAGACAGCTTTATACATGTATCTTTAGGTCATGAACACTTTCATTGCAGAAATGTAATTTACTAACTCTAATCATGATCTACAATACCTCAACTCCTTCTGAGAAAATAAAAAAAGCAGTGAAGATCAAAAACAGGCCATTGACAAAGCCAGCCAGAACTTCCGCTCTAACATACCTAAAGAAGAGCAAAATAAACAACTGAATTATTATTTCTTAAAAATCAAATCATAAGTTTATATACATTCAGAGATTCTAAACCATGTTATATGGTTAAAAGCAGTCAGCAAAGTCCTAGTATTTATAGTATAGTATGTTTTATTCTACATATACTATAGAAATGAGGAAATGACTTTAATTATTATGAATTATGTATAACAGCAAAATGACATACGATACATCCATCTCTACAAGCCAATCAAAAGACCTTCTTAGAGTAAGTAGGTTTAGAAAGACCCTTCACAGAACCATCAATTTCAGCTTGCCCTTGGAGAAGGAAAAACTGGATGAGACAAGGGGGCAAAGAAGGAAGGATCTAAAAGATAACAAGTAGAAGAAAAGAACTTTTCTAAAAGAGGGGTTTTAATAACTTATTTGCTTCTTTTCTAAAAATTCCTTATACTTTTTGTCTTATAACTTTCAGCTTTGAAATCTTTGGAAAATGGAACTTTGATCTGAAGGAAAACAAAATCATCCTAGAGCCAACTTAATATTTATATTCTTAATCACTCTTTTCTAAGATTAATACATTTAACAAAAACTTTTCAATTATCTATTTTTAGAATCAATCCTGGCTTCACTTAATTCTAATGAAACTTTTTAAAATGTCTACCTTTTTCTCCATGGACTTCTGAAGCTTTCTGCTTTCTACCTGCATGAAGCATCAGGGAAAGATTCTATTTTTCCATTAAGGTATATTTGGCTTTAAGTATTAGAAACTTTACCTTGGCAGTTTAAATGTCCTAACATGATTCAAAGGGTGCTGATAGTAGTTAATCACTATGGTCCTTAAATAATATAATAGGAACATCAAAAACACTGCTTTTTCCAGCTCTGTCAACTCCTAGATAACACAAGCTTTACTGTAAAACATATTTTTAAAGAGAAAAAACTATTTGAAATGCACTCGTTTCAGGGACACCTGGGTGGCTCCGTTGGCTGAGCACCCAACTTTGGCTCAGGCCATGATCTCACAGTTCTTGAGTTACAGCCCTGAGTCGGGCTCTCTCCTGACAGCTCAGAGCCTGGACCTGCTTCGGATTCTGTCTCCCTCTTCCTCTGCCCCTTCCCTGTTTGTGCTCTCTCTCTCAAATATAATTAAACATTAAAAAGAAATGTACTCATTTCATTTATGTTGGAATTTGCTCTGTCAGTACATTCCAACATGGCATGTATTTCTACATTCAGTAATAATGCAGATTTCTACCTTCTAACACATACAAATGAATTAAATTTATATAATATTTGTTAAAGCATATGCTTTTTATTTTTTAGGAGAAAACATTCATTAAATTCAGACTGCTTCCATAGTGAACACCTAGGAATTTACCTAATCTATCAGCAGGGTTACTAACCTCAAAATAAAAAAAGCACTTCCCTTTAACCCACTCTTCTCCTATAGCTAATGCTTGATTGAAAACCTTCTGTCCTTGAGTCCAATGGATTTCAAGATCAAAGGTAGGAATGTTTTTCAGGCATCTTTTTGTCTCTAGTGCCTAGCTTAAGATGTGCCTCATAAATTCTGATCCGCTGCTGGACTCAAGTGATTTGATTAGGCTTACTATATTTGCTAAACTTGGTTGCAGGATTCAAGTGAAAAAATTGTGAAAACCACACATACTTGCCTTTACAAATTATGTCAATAGAGTGAGTCTTGGAATTAAAACATATAATTCATGAACGTGCTATTGCCTAATAAAGTATTATGGCATCCGGATTCTTGAGCCAAGGAGAAGGATACATGCACATGTACATATGTATAAAGGCATGTACGTATGTATCTACCCATCAGACATCTATTATTTTTATACTGGCATTGCTGTTTCAAAAACAGTGTGACCAGACACAAAGATGACTTTTCTATAAAGAAATACTGAAAAGTCTTCTGCCTCTCAGATTCCTCCCAGTTTTGTACTGCAGTCAGTCTGCTATCGTAATCATATTGAAATAGGGGTTTGGGGATTCATCCCTAGGCTTAGTCTATCCAGTGTCATTTTGATGTACTGGTACCTATATTTTACTACTGCTGCTACTTACTACTATAGCAATTATTAGTAACTTCAAATGTTGCATCAGATTTTACTCCCTAGTTTTTCCCTTCTCAAAAGATAAAGGCAAACAAGGAAAAGACAGAACGAGAGATAAAAAGATGGCAAGAATATTATCCCCTCATATAAATGAGTAAAAGTTGCAGTTAAAACCTGCTATGGTACTGAAGGTATTAAGCTACACCTAAAAACCATCTTATAGTGGGAAACTATGCAATCTAAATAGAAAACAATAGATATCCTAACATTTAAGGAACTGAGAATTTTTAATAGTCACCTACTACTTACCCCACAAACTTGTTCAGTAAGATACTCTAATCAGATTTTTGATATGCAATATACATGAATTACTAATTTTCCAACACAAAATTAGAACTTTACATACAACTTTTCCTTAATGATTCAAAATACACTTAAGAATCTTTTGATTGCATAATGCCAAGGAAAATGTTCTCTTTTGAGCTGTCTGGATTTATAGGTATACAGATCTTTCACTTTAGTCTATAAAAACAGTATAATTAGTGTTTTTGCCTCATTTTTATAATCTTACAAATAACTATATCACTTCGGTTATACCCCAAATCAGCCAAGTTTTGTCAGAATCTCATGTATCTCTCTTTTGACACTTGTCACACTATATAGCTACTGTGGTATTTTTACAGAACCATCTCCCTATCTGACCACAAGCTCCTCCAAGGCAGAAGACCTATCTTCTGCATCTTCATAAGAAGCAAAGGGTTAGACTCATAGCGGGCCCTCTGAAGAGAACAAGAGCACATACAAGAGAGAGCGTGTGCTTGCTTGCTCAAGAACAAAAGCAAAAGGTGGAAAGAAAGAGGAAAGCAGTGAGGGAGCAAGAGTAAAAGACCAAGGGGAGGACGAGGCAGTGCGCTAAGAGAGGGGACGTAGTCAGGCAGCGGAGAATGAGAGACACTACAAAGGGAGCCTTCCAGGAGGAGGACTGGTGAGAGAAAGAAAGAGACTGGGAAAGGGAGAGAAGAGAGAACTAGGGCGGAAGAGGTTCAGAAAGAGGGAGAGGGGAATAAGGAAGAGCTGAGAGATACAGCGGTCAAGGGTAGAGGGAGAGAACGAGAATGTCCAGGAGAGAGAAAAAGAGGAAGGAGGGGGTGGAAGGCTGAGAGACAGAGAAAGACCATGAGCACAGGTACAAGGAACTGGAAAGAACCACCAGGTGGGGGGAAGGGAGTTCCGGAGCGATGACCAAGAGCGTGAGGATGGGGATGAGAGTGAAAGAGAAAACAGCAAAGAGTAAAGAAAGGAGAGAATGTGAGAGAGCACTCACAAGAGAAGGGGCTAGACAAGAAAGAGTCAACAAGTAAGAGGAGAGAGGGGAGCAGGAAGGAAAGAGAAAGTGGGTGGGGAGACAGAGAAAGAGGCTATTCCCTCTGAGTGCTGCTTACACATAAACAGAATTACACTGCAAAATACTCAATGAAACCAAAAAAGAAAACATACAGGCAGAGTCACTCAAACACTGGAAACTCCACTGTTTCCCCCAATCAAAGATGGTAAAAGGCAAACCCTGCCTCTAAGGGTCCGAGGCTTGGAAGTGAGACCAGACGTGCCAATATGGTCTCTTCAGCATAAAAACACTCTCCAAATATCTTATTAATTATCCAAATTCAGCAAGAGTATGAAAAGCAGTTTTTTTCATAAAAGCAGAGCTGCAGAGGGTAATATAAAATCCGATTAGAAAATGATTTTAAATAAATTAACAGCAAAGCATCCCTCTAAAAAAGAAAAAGAAAGAAAATGACCATTTTCATAAACTGAATTTTTTTTTCTTCTTCTTCTTAAAAAACTTAGGTTAAAAGTTGAGAAAGTCCCCTATCTAGTAAAAAATTTCACTTAAAAATTTCTGGTAAAACAAGACGTCCTATCTCTAAGCAAAAGAACTTCAACGCAAAAAAAAAAAAAAGCAAAATAAGTATATACTGTAGATTACAATTACGCACTGCTCAAAAACAGGTTAAAACTAATCCACCGAGTTAGGGAAGTGGTGGAGACTCTTGGGGAGCTGCATGGGAAGGAACGAGGAGGCCTGAGGGAGGATTCAAGAGTTCAAGTTATACAAATGTGTTCAAGTTGTGAAAATCCATTGTGCTTAAGATGTGTGTATTTTCTGTATTTCTTATACTTCAATAAAAAAGTTTTTAAAAAGTCTTACCCATAAGAGAAAGCATCATTATCTCTCCATTTTGAAATAACAGATGCTGCCAATCCAGCCAAAATGGCAGTGCTATCGAAAAACATGTGAAAAGAGTCGGAAATCAAGCCTAAGCTGTAAAAGAACAGACATATTGGCACATTATAATAGTAACCAAATAGTAGGCATCCTTCTCTAAATTCTCTCAATATCCTTCTGCTCATCAGGAACTAATCTTCTAAACAGACAACCTTGGAATATGATATAGAGATACCCAGGATAAGTTTTAAACGTCTGAGGAGGGAACCCTCACACCCCTTGTCCAAGACAAAATTCAGCTGCTACTGAAAGAGGGGTGGAAACAAGGCCAGCTGCTGCTGGATGCGCGGCAGGAATCTGCCCCCTCTCTGACTGCTGACAAAGGTCAGCTACCACTGAAAGAGGAAAAAAAAAAAAAAACAAAAACCAGCCATCGCAGTCAGGGGAAAGTCTGGAGCCAGCTTGGGCCCGACATCTTACATTGATACAAAGCAAAGGTCTGCTATTGTTGGAAGAGGAGCAAGACAACAGTTCCTTCTCTTGATACAAGGCTGCGGAGAGAGGTGGGAGAAGGGGCAGTGGGGTTAATCACACCCACCCTGACACTCAGGTGAGAAGGGACTGCCTAGAAGTAAAGCTCCAGCAGGAGGACCAAATTCTCTCTCCCCACAACCAAAGCCTTGACTAGAGTACAAAACAACAGCAATCTACCACTGAGAGCTGAGCAAGAGCACAGAGATTCCCCTGTGGCACAGGTGTGCAAGGCTTGTTGAAAGCTGAGAGTGGAGCAAGAACACTGAAAAAACCCTCCAGGCCCCCAGACCCTACGCTAAACACAAGGTGGTAGAAGCCGGTAAAAAAATTTGAAGTCGGGAGCTTGTAAAAACTACCTACCAGTAACAAAACACAGAACCCAGCTAGTCAACTACTGATCAGAGACTCAAAACTCTACACTAATGGCCTGACCAAACAGCAGGTGTGCACGTTTCTGGGCATAGATACTATCGACCTGGGTCCCTGTTAATCTTTTAAACATAAGATCCAGCATTCAATAAATATTTATAAGACACATAACAAGATCTGGGGCACCTGGGTGGCTCAGTCAGTTGAGCATCTGACTTTGGCTCAGGTCATGATCTCACAGTTCATGGGTTCGAGCCCCACGTTGGGCTCTGTGCTGACAGCTAAGCTCAGAGCCTGGGGCCTGACCCCCGCTCATACTGTCTCTCTCTCTCAAAAATAAGTAAGACATTAAAAAAAACTATTTTAAAAAAAGACACATAACAAGATCAAAGGGCAAAAACCAACCAACCAACCAAACAAACAAACAAAAACCATTGTCAAGAGCTAATGTAGTCAACAGAATCAGAACCAGAAAAGGCCTAGAGACTGGACTATGATAAGGACTTTAAAACAAATATGATCACTATGTTAAAGGACGATGTATAAAGCAGGAGAAAATTCATGACAAATTGAGGACTTGTCACATAGATAAAACTATAAAAGAATCCAATGAAAATGACAAAAACATTTTTTTAAAAATCACAATATTGAAGAGAAATAATATACATGGGCTTCTGAGCAGATGGGACACAGAAAAAGAATCACATCAAGAGAAATTATCTAAGTAAAACACAAAGAACAAAAGGAGTGAGGGGAAAAAACAACAGAGCATTCAAAACCTGTCACAGTTATCAAAGAGACTCAAATACAAACATCTGGATTCTCAGTAACGGAGAAAAAAAATAGGGTAGAAAAAGTATTTAAAGATAAAATTCTTAAGAGTTTTTAAAAAGAAACCACATATTCAAGACATTTAATAAATCCCAAGTAGGGGAAAAACCCTACACACCTCACAAACTGCTCAACACCAAAGAAATAATCTTGAAAACAGCTAGTAAAAGGAAAAGTATAGATAAGATTATTAGTATATTTTTCATCAGAAACCACTCAAGGCAGAATAATGAAGCAATGTCTTTAAAGTATTGAAATAAAAAAGCCAACCTAAAATTCTGTATCTAACAAAATATATTTCAAAAATGAAGTCAAAAATAAAGATTCTTCCAGACAACCGAAGCTGACAGAATTCCCTGCCAATTGATCTGAGTTAAAAGAATTAGAAGTTTTTCAAGCAGAAATAGGATAACAGATGGAAACAGATTTGCATAAAGAAATGAAGATCACTGAAAATGATAAATACGTGAGTAAATAAAAAAGACAGTTTTTCAGGGTGCCTGGCTGGCTCAGTTGGTTAAGCATTCAACTCTTGATCTCATGGTCATGAGTTCAAATCTTGCACTGGGCTCCACACTGGACATGAAGCCTATTTTTTTAAAAAGATAATGTTTCATTTTTAGTATCTCTAAAAGATCACTGAGAATGGGGGGTGGGAGGGGGAAGGGGAGAAAGAAAAAAGAAAAATTAATCAAAAGATGGTTCTGTGAAAATATCAATAAAATTCACAAACTTTAAATAGACTGACCATGAAAAAAGGTAAAAGACTCAAATTACTAAAATCAGGAATGAAAAAAAAATTACTACTGACCTTACAGAAATAAAAAGGATCATAAGAAAATACTATGAACAATTATAAGCCAGCAAATTAGATAACAAAGAGGAAATAGACAAATTCCTAGAAACTATCTTGCAAACCTGACTTAAAAATTTTTTTTGAATATACTTATAACAAGCAAACAAATTGAATTAATAATTGTAAAACTTCCAACAAAGAAAAGCCCACACCCAGAGAGCTTCACTGGAAAATTCTATGAAACATTTAAAGACCAATAAATACCATCCCTTACAAACTCTCCCAAAACAAAGATGAAGGAACGTGTCCCAATTCACCATATAAGAGCAGTATTACCCTCACACCAAATGAGACAAAAGACATCACAAGAAATGAAACAGACTAATCTTTTGCAAATACACACAGACAAATCTTCAACATACATGAGCAAGTGGAATTCAAGTATATATATTTTAAAAGTACATACCACAACCAAGTGGGATTTATACCAACAATGCAAGGTTGGTTCAATATATGAAAACCAATCAATCTAACACATCATATCAACAGAATAAAAGACAAAAACCACATGATCATCTCAATAGGTGCAATAAGAGTTTGACAAAATTTAACACTCCCCTTCATATTCAAAACACTCAACAAGCAGAAGAGAGAGAACTTCCTCCACTCTTAAATGGCATCAACAAAAACCCCACAGCACCATTAACAGCCAATGACTGAATGTTCTCCCCTAAGATCAGGTATAAGGATGTCCCATCTTGCTACTGCTACACTGTACTGGAGGATCTAACAAGGGCAGTTAAGCAGGAAATTAAAAAACAAATAAAATAAAAAATAAAAAAGTGAAGAAGTAAAACTATCACAATTTGCAACTGACAGGATTTTATATATACAAAATTTTAAGGACTCTACTAAAAACCTATTAGAATAAATGAGTTTGGTGAGGTTGCAGGATACAAGAGCAACATATCAAAATGAACTGTATTCCAAAAAAAAAATGAACTGTATTCCTAATAGTACTGATGCAAAAAATTAAAAAAAGATTTCCATTTATAATAGCATCAAAAAATAAAATACTTTTAAATCAATTTAACAAAAAATGTGTTACATTTGTACTTGAAAACTATAAAGTATTGTTGAAAAATTTAAAGAAGACATAAATAAATAGAAAGATATCCATGTTTATGGATCAGAAGACAATACTGTTAAGATGCCAGTACTTCCCCAGTTGATCTACAGATTCAATTCAAACCTATCAAAATCCCACCTGACTTCTTTGAAGAAACTGACAAGTTGATCTGAAAATTTATATGGGGAAGCAAGTGACTTAGAATGGCCAAAAAATTATTGAAAACGAAATGCAAAGTTGGAAGACTCATACTTCCCAATTTCAAAACTTATAATTAAGGTTACGGCAATCAAATAGTGTGGTGCTAGCACAAAAATAAAAAAATAGAGCAATGGAACAGTATTTAGAACCTAGAAATAAACCCTCACATTTATGGTCAACTGACTTGTGACAAGGCTGCCAAGACATTCCAATGATGGAAAGAATGGTGTTTTCAACAAATGTGTTGATACAACTGGATATCCACATGCAAAAAATGACTTTTGACACTTATTTTATACCATACACAAAAATTAACCCAAAATAGATCAAATACCTAAACATAAAAACTAAAATATTCACGACCTTGGATTAGGCAATCATTTCTTATATATATAACACACCAAAATCACAAGCAACAAATGAGAAAACAGAAAATATAGACTAGATATCACTGTAATTTTCAAAGGAAAAGTGAAAAGAAAATGTACAGGTGGGAGAAAATATTTACCAACTATATTTCTGACAAGGGGTTTGTCTCCAGAATATAGGAAGAACTCTTTTTTTTTTTTTAAGATTTTATTTTTAAGTAATCTCCATACCCAACGTGCAGCTTAAACTCACAACCCCAAGATCAAGAGTCCCATACTCCACCAACTGAGCCAGCCAGGTACCCCTATATGAAGAAATCTTAAAACTCTTCCAAAAAATAGGGCACTTGGGTGGCTCAGTCAGTTAAGCATCCAACCCTTGATTTCAGCTCAGGTCATGATCTCACGGTTTGTTAGATCGAATCCCGCACTGTCAGCATGGAGCCTGCTTGGGATTCTCTCTCTCCCTCTCAAAATAAACAAACAAATATTTCTTAAAAACTCTTCCTAAAGAAAAGTAATTCAATGTCTTAAATGAACAAAGAATCTGAGTAAACATGTTTCCAAAGAAGACACACAAATGGCCAAAAAGCACATGAAAAGATACTCCACATCATTAACAACCTTTCAGGGAAATGCAAGTCAAACAATGAGACACAGCTTCATATCCACACTATGACAGCTAAATCAAAAAGATCAGTAACAAGCGTTGGTGAGGATGTGGAGAACGCAGAATTCTCACACACTGTTGGAATTTAATTTGGCAATAAAAATAAATGAATACTAATACATGTAGAATATGGATGATCATTGAAAACATTACGCTGGGTGTAATAAACAAATCACAAAGGATCATACACTATATGAT